ACAAAAAAATCCCAGAAAAAGGCCCAAATCTCACTGCCCATTGTCAAATACGTGGGATTTGAATTGTCTCTGGAACTCAAAACCTCTTCACAGACCGGAAGGGGCTGTCACCAAGTAGCAGTCCCCACCACTGGCAAGCAGCTGCCAGGATTCCTGGGTATGGCAGGGCTTTGTCGGATTTGGATTCCTAGCTTTGGCCTAATAGCCAAACCTCTGTATGAAGCCTTGAAAAGACAGGAAAAAGAGCCCCTTACTTGGACAGGAGAATGTCAAAAGGCTTTTTTGACTATTAAAGAAAAACTGATGACTGCCCCTGCACTGGGCCTCCCAGATTTGCACAAGCCTTTTGATTTGTTCATCCAAGTGAGACAAGGAATTGCACTGGGGGTACTAACCCAAACTTTGGGAGCTTATAAGTGTCCCATGGCCTATTTCTCTAAACAATTAGATGTAGTAGTGAAAGGATGGACCACTTGTCTAAGAGCAGTTGCCACCACACTTGTGATATTTTACAAGAAGCTGAAAAGTTTATGGTTGGACAGCAGTAACTATTCATACTGCATATGGTGTTACCCCTACTAGAACAGAAGGGGGGCTATGAGTTGACGGCGGGCCGGTTGGGCAAATATCAAGCTACTCTGTTAGATAATCCTAATGTAACTTTAAAGGCAGCGTCCACCTTGAATCCCGCCACATTGCTGCCTATGGACTTTCACTCCCCGGTTCATGATTGCATTCAAATCATGACCAAGTATACTCTAGCTGCCCGGATTTGATGGATCAGCCCTTGGCAGACCCGGATGAGGAATTCTTCACAGACGGGGGGCAGCTTCATGTAGCATGGACAATGAAAAGCCAGGTAAGCTTTGGTGACCAGCCAGCAGGTAATTGAGGCACAAGCCCTACCTGCAGGGATGTCTGCCCAAAAGGCGGAATTGATTGCATTGACCAGAGCCCTATACCATGGGAAAAATAAGCATATCAATATATACAGATTCTAAATATGCCTTTATGGTGGTACATGCTCATGGAGCTCTGAGGAAGGACTGAGGACATCTTAATTCTGAAAATAAAGAAATTAAATATAGGCCTCAGATTCTTGAATTATTAAAAGCCGTTTTACTGCCTAAGGAGATAGCCATCATGCCCTGCTGGGGACATCAGAAAACAGACACTCATATTACAAAAAGAAATACTATGTCAGATTTAATGGCAAAAAGGACAGCCCGACAAATTGTCAATTGACTCTAATTCTCTCTCGGCAATTAGATAAATACGATCCCCAATATTCTGAAAAAGATCTAGAAAGTGCTAAAGAATGGGAATTTTCAAAGTATAATGATCAAAATTGGCTCACAGACATGGAAGGGAAGGTTCTCCTTCCTGAAACTCTTGTCAGACCAGAGCTTGAACAGATGCATTAATGCACCCATTTTGGACGAGATGCCACCTTGCAATGGATACAGCCCCATATGGCTGGTCCCAACTTACAGAGAAGTATTCAGACAGTAGTTTGAAGCTGCCCTATGTGCTTGAAAAGTAACCCAAAGCCTTCTGGAACCTCACAACCACCCCTAAAGGAAGGAATGCAATGGAGAAGGAGTTTCCCAGGAGAAGACTGGCAGGCATACTTTACCATGATGTGGTAAGTCCCTGGAAATTTTCAATATTTGCTGGTCTTTGTTGACACTTTTTCAGGATGGGTTGAAACTTACCCCACCAGGACTGAACGGACATCAGAAGTCACTAAAGCCCTTTTAAAGGAAATTAATCCTAAGTTTGGATCTCCATCAACTCTTCCAAGTGGTATGGAGCAGGCTTTGTTGTCAAAATCACCCAAGAAATATCAAGAATTTCAGAAATCAGTTGGAAACTGCATTCATCATGGAGACCCCAGTCTTTGGAGAAAACTGAATGGATGGCTAGAACTTTAAAAAAGATTGTCTCCAAAATTTGTCAAGAGACCAGTTTAACTTGGGACAAAGCGTTATCTCTTGTTCCGTTGAGAATTCGGGTGGCCCCTAGAAGGAAGCTGGCTCTTAGCTCCTTTGAAATTATATATGGGAGACCTTGCCTAAGAGCTTCCAGCCAGGGCTCAGTCAATGCTTGTCTGCCCCCAGAGACAGAAGCTTGCTCGTATGTAAAACAGCTTGGTAACATGCTAAGTCCTATTTCTAAGTTTGCTTCCAAGAGGCTCAAGTTTCCAATGGATGTGCCCCTTCATTCCATAAAGCCAGGAGACACGGTGCAAACCTGGAGAAACCAGCATCCTGAAGATCAACCACAGCCACAGTGCCTCGGCCTGTTTGAAGTTCTCCTGACAACTCACTCATCAGTTAAACTCACAGGAGTTAAGCCACAGATTCATCACACTTGGATAAAAGAGGCACCCCTACCAGAGACTGCACGCCTGCGGGATTCACCACCTTCAGAGAGACTGAAGGAGTGGTGGGCTTGTGAGCCCATAGAGGATCTAAATTTACTCTCCTGCAAAGGAGATAAGTAACATGAAATTATATACCCTATGTATCTTATTTGTTCCTTGGGAATTTTTGCTTGCCTGGTGAGACGATTCTTCAGTTAGGATTTCTCAAGCTATCACCTCATCTGCTAACCTGTCTAGCTGCTGGGTTTGTCATCCTAAACCTCCTTCAGTGCAAGACCATTCTGACCTTATAGCTGTCTCTGTATACAATTTCACTAATGTACCCTCCTGTATGTTGAACTTACAGAAGCCTGTCTCTCGGATCACTTACAGGGTACAACTAATAACTCCATACTCAGAGGTCCCATGTTTCTTTCTTACCCAGCCCCTTATCAGACATTATGTACAAGGTGACAGTAGGGACACATACTCTCATAAGTGTACTTTCTACTGGACAATCGGTCTCTCTAAATTGACCACCAATTATACAAATTCGACTATTACAGTCTTTTCTGCGCCACCCTCTTTAGGTTATCTCATTAAGAAATGTTGCTTCACAACCTAGCTATAACCTTGGAAATGATGGCTAATGAAACTGCATTAGCAATAGCTGCTCCACAAAAATCTTTAAACTCTTTAACTCAAGTGGTTCTCCATAATCGCATTGCTCTTGACAATATTTTAGCAGAACGAGCGGGTGTTTGTGTTATAGCCAAATCCTCATGTTGCACTTACATAAGTACCTCCACAGAAGTGGGAACATGTGTTGATAAAATTAGACAACAAGCTTCATGTTTGCAACAGGTTAACAGGGATGATCTAGATATGGGAGATTGGTTCTCAAGATACTCTCTTGCATTCCTCAGGGTAAACCCTCCATTCTTTCAGGGACCTTGAAATTTAGCCTTTCCCTATTACTACCAATTTTCTTGATTTACCTCATTACAAATTTATTAATTAAATGTGGACTAAAATGTTGTTTTGAAACAACAAAAAAAACACTCAAGTAACTAGAGACCTTCAATCATTCACCTATGACTCGTAAGCACTTTCAGCAACAGGCTCGGAACTTTCATTGCCCATGCCCCAACTGCACCCCACTTCAGCAGGACGCAGCCAGATTGATCTACACCCCCGATTCCCCAAGACCGAGGAATGAACGAAGAAAAGGGGCAAAATCGTAACGAACTCCATAAGCAAGAAAATGTTTTCTCAATAATGTTTTTAGTTTCCTCATATTTCAAGTGAGTTTTCAGAGTTCACATCATGGCTGGAACTGGCAGCTCTAAGGGACCTTGACAGTGAGTTTTAGCTCAGCTCTGGTCGCTTAGCAGCTACAGTCTCAAAATAGGCAGAAAAAAGACTGAGAGCTCTTGGTAAGACTTGTTGACCAGAACTTTGTAACTTTCTGTTGCACTGATGCATTCTCTTCTGAGTTTCTTTCCAAGAAATGCAGAACCTCCTTGCAGCCAGGAGATGACTACAAAGCCTCACCCCACCTGTTTGTCTGGAGAAGACAAGATAAGTGACACCCGCCACTGACTGTACCCAAAGACCCACGAAGCATGAGCACAAGGTTGAAAGAATGACCAATATTAACCCCTAGCTCATTATAATATTAAAATCCCCACCCCGGGAGGGACTTATCCACCATTTTTGACGATGGAAAGTATGTACTAGTATGATTTCTCACTGCGCTTGCATGCCCTGCACTCCACCCCAAATACACAATGGTGCTCACCTCCCTCATGCATTATCCATTTTTCCACTAGAAAAACCCTTGATCCTGTTGGTCAGGGAGGCGGATTTGAGGCGGTTCATACCTCCCCCTCCCAGCAGATGTGTCTTCTGAAATAAATCCTTTCTTCCTTGACAATCCTTGCTGGCTCAGTTATTGGCTTTCTGTACCGTGAGCAACATTGAACCTCCCCTTGTGGGTTCATTTACAAAAATACAAAATAGCCAGCTATAGCCTGATTCTGTGAAATAGAAGCCTTTTCTACACAGAAAAAAAAATACAAAATAAAACTTTAGGCTCAGCCTCAATAACAGATGCGCTTCTTGTCAATAAGTTCACCAGTGGATAAAAGTAAGACTTAGAGCCAAGATGTGGAAACAACCCAAATGTCAACAGACGGATGAGCGGATGAACAAAAAGTGCTACATACACAATGGGCTATTATTCAGTATTAAAACAAAGAAGGAAATTCTGACACATCCTACAGCGCAGTAGATAGAACCTTGAGGACATTACACTAAGTGAAATAAGCCAGACACAAAAGGGCAAATACTGCATGATCCCACAGTATGTAAGGCAGATGAGGTCCCTAGAGTAGTCAAATCCATAGAGACAGAAAGTAGAATGACGGTTGCCAGGGGCTGGAAAGAGGGATATGGGGAGTTGACATTTCATAGGAACAGAGTTTCTATTGGGGCTGAAGTTCTGGAAATGGATGGTGGTGGTGGTTGTACAACCTTGCGAATGTCCTTAATGAAAGTCAACTGTACGCTGAAGTGGGACAGCACAGAGGGAGAAGAGCCCAATATGCTTCTTTGAGTTTAGAGTGGAGAGAAGATGGCATCTGCTGGAGAGGGGGAAACAGGGATCTGGAGACCTCAAGGATACTTGACCTTGGACAATGGTCAGAGGTCAGTGGCAGGAGGTACTGTTGACCCCAGATTTCCAGACAAGTGTGCATGTCAGTCTGGTAGTTACTTGTTTTCTTTCAAACGTATTGCCAGGATGGAAGGATTGATGATATCAGAGGCTTCTGACCTTCCTGCTTGGAAGGACCTGACTGACTCCGTGGGTGCCTGGAGCCCAGTAGACTAGAGCATCTTCGCAGAGCTGCTCTCCACGCCTGACATCTCCCAGTTGGGAGAAGAGATAACAGGCTTGGTGTCAATTAGAACCCAGAAGAAAGCTTTGGCCAGAACAGCGTCTGGGTTCTGTGGAAGGGAAGAAAGACTTTGGGAGAAATCATGGCCACTTATCAACCAGACTCTTGGTCTGAGGACCACAGCCCCCAGCCCGGCACGTCTGGATACTCCCCCGAGCCCAACACCTCAGGCTACTACCCTGAGGGCACTGCAGTCAGGAAGATGCATGGGAAAGAAAGGAAGGCCTCAGAAAGCCAGGATTAGAGAAAGACAGCACAGGACGTGGGACAAGGACGTCCACACAGAAGGAAAAGCTGGGGAGCAAGGCAGTGGGGCTGGGAGGTGAGTCCGAGACAAGGGAAGAGGGACTCAGGGAAGCCTTTCTTTTCTTCCCCAATGGAAGTAATTCTCTACAATGAGGAAGAGTTTGAGGACAGAGAGATGCAATAGTGGCCAGGTGAGGTCAGGTGGATGGATGTCAACAAAGGAGAGAGATGGAGAGATGGCTTGGAGAAGGCCTCGGTCTGTGGGGCTAGAGAGGCTGCAAGAGAGGTTTGGTTTGGAGGCCGGGGGTAATTAGGTGATCAGCGGCTGAATTCCAAAGACAGATCTTGACATTGCAGCCTGGTTTCTTTATTCAGCCCCTCAGATAGATCCCAGCCCCCTGCCTCAGTCTCCTGGCTGGAAAAGGAAGAGGGAGTGGTCATCCGAATCCAAGGATGAGGAGTTGGAAGAGGAGCCGGTGGTCCCTGAGCCTAAGGACATCTGGGTTGTGGAGTCACTGTGTGGGCTCAATATGAGACCGAAGAAGCAGCGAGTGTCCTCAGTGCTTCCCGAGCACCACCAGGCTGCTTGGTAGGAGGAGACTCCAGATAGCATGCTCCAATCATATCCTTTTGAAAAAGGAAGAAACTCCTAATCACCACACTTTTCCAGTGGAAAAGAATGCCCTGCTAGTGGGTGAGCTCTCCTCCATCCCTAGGGGATGCAGTATGTGTCACTCAGCAGGGGCACTTGGATGGTGGTAGAGGATTAGGCTAGACTTGAAGAAGGTCTATACTTGGGATAAGAAAGCTTGGTTTCAGCTGCACACTCTGAAACTTACTAGCTCTTGCTGATTTGGGGGAATCTAAGTGTCAGCATCTGTAGAGGGGGAGAACAAGGCTGTGTTTGTGCTCTAATGTGACTATCCATGGGAAACAGCCCGAGTCACTGTGATTTCTGGAATGGTACACTTGTGTGTGGTGAGGGGCGTCCAGGATCTTCCTCGTGCACATATGCCGCTGACGCCCAACCCCTCCCTCCGTCACCCCTCAGGGGAATCTCAGGGCAGGAGCCTCTGTCCCTTGCCCAGTGAATGTTCTCTCTCCTATCTCCTCTCACCTAACCCTTGGCCACAATCCAGAACCTTCTCCCAGGGAGGCACAGTTCTCCTCTTTGCTCAAAGTTGCTCCCACCATGGCAACTCTGCCCCGATTCTCAACCTAACACATGCTCTCTTTCCACAGAGGATCCTGTCATTAGAAACTTCCTGGCCTGGGACAAAAGTCTGAGGGTATCTGACAAAGTAAGGTGGTTTTGCTCCAGCACCGACCCTGGGGGAGGGCAGGGCTTCCTAACCCACAGTTCCACTTCTCTCTGCCTCTGCGTCTCTCCCCCGGATGCTGCCACAGCCCTGAACCTGTAGGACTTGCCAGCATCTCCCTCTGGGACCTGGAGGTCTCCTGCAGCGGAACACCCGGCCCTGCTCAGGTGGGGTCCTTTGGCATCTGAGGCCTCGGCACAGTGTTGTCCTGCACGTTGCCTCATTGGTCATCGCCAGTCTGAGCTCCTGGCCGCTCTCCTCTCAGCTCTCTGGGACTATCCTTTGCCGCAGCTCACCAAAGGCCTCCTGACACCAGCCATGCGGAACACCTTCCCTCCAGAGATCCCGGCAGAGCTCGCCGTCCTGGGAGCACCGTGGACTTCGCTTCCTCTGACCTCTGTGATTTGTAACCAACCTTCAGATACATCCCCCCCATATAAATGAGCAGCCACCAAACACGGGGGTCTGTTCTCTGAGCAGCAACCCCTGCCCTGCCTCCCATTCCCTTGTCCCCATGTTCTTCCTCTTCCACAAAGGACTCCTCTCTTACTGCTTTTACTCTCTCCCCATCAGCACCTCCTCTCTATGGTCATAGCCTACTTTGGCCGGGCTGGCCCCTTCTCCTGGCAGTACCGACACATTCATTTCTTCATAGCGCTGTGAGTACTTTGCGTCGTCCCATCAATCAATATTCAGCACCCTGGGAGGGGGAGAGGCAGGACTCTAACCTCTCGTCTACTTTTAACCTTTCTGTACTGTTTATTATGTGTATAAAAATGATGGGATTATACTGAGTGCTCTTCCACTGTTCTACATAAAAACAAAACATCCAAATGTCACTAAAAAAACTAAACAAAATGAAAGGAAACATAAAACTCCTCCTACGAGGAGAGAAAAACAAAATTGACACAACCCTGCCCCCCAAGCAAACATCTGTTTCTGCTTCCTCTGTCCCTGTCCTTCCAGTGTCAACACCAAATGTGTGTCCATCTTCCTCCTCTGGATTCCCGTGACAGATGCCACAGCTCAGGCTCCCTTCACAACACAAAGACATTGCAAAATGCTCCCTGCTGGTGTTGGTTACAAGCTTCTCTCCCTGAGCCAATGGGCTTTATACGTGTTGCCTGCACATCCTTCAAAACACACGCCTAACCCCCAACTGCCCGCCTTAACCCATCAGCTAACGACTGTCACCATCAAGGCCAAGGTTCTCAGTTTGAATTCAACCCTTTCCACAATCTCTCCACAACCAAACCTGCTCACCACCTCGGTATTTCATTCCTGTGTTTCCTGCTCCTTCCAAATGCCCTTACCTCTATTTTCTCATGGTGTTCTCTGTCTGAGTGTCTTCCGCACGTACAGATCTGAAGAAAACTACCCAGCCTTAAAGTCAGTTCAAACACCTAACTCTAGTGATGCCTTCGCCATCTTCCAACTGCTGCATACCAGTAGCACTTAAGTTAAATCCTATCACAATATGACATTGTGGATTACAGTTTCTGATCTCCCCGCCACTTTCCCCAATCCCACTAACCTAGACATTTGCCAGAGGCAGGGTCTTCTCAAAATATCAAGCATTCTCAAAACAACACAATTCTTTTCATTTTGCAAGTGTTCATGTTATATTGAGTCTACGAGGTCACCAGTCTGGTAATCGGCTATAAGAGGCTGTAAAATCAAGCTTTCACTTATTCATTCATCCACTCATTATTCAACAAACCCTGATGACGTACGCCCTATGTACCAGGGAATGTGAGGTGACAGGAAGAGGGATCCAGGGAATGCTTGTTTAGTTAAATGCACCAACAGGAACCAAGTCCTGACTTAGCCATTTCCTAGGAGAGGGATGAATACAGAGACAAACCAGTCAGTTCCTGTCCCCTCAGGGCACTTACGATATAGCAGGGGAGATGGGTGTGTGCTCACATAGCAAGTTGATGGGGACGGGGCTGGGGAAATTGCATGCCAACTGTCTTGTGTCAGGATGGCAGGAGACAGCCTCAGGCCTTGCAGGGGGTGGGGTCTGTCTTCACCCTCAGCCTGTGAGAGGCCCCTTCACAAGGTCTCTGTCCAGCAGCGGCCTCCTGATGAAGGGGTGGTGCTCTGTGACTCTGGGTGGGACTGACACGGGTCCTGTGCTGAACTTGGGCAGCCTGTCCTCCTCTCTGCAAAGCTGACCTCAGGCAGAGTCCCTTCTCTGCCTTCCTGCTGGTGTCCCTGACAAGCCACCTGATTTCTCTCTCCAGCTACCTGGCCAATGACATGGAGAAGGATAACCAGGCTCCTAAACAAGCCATTTTTCCATTCCTGTATGGGGAGAGCGGCTTCCAGCGTCCTGTTCCACAAGCTGCCCTACCAGTTCATCCGATCCACAGCTGTAAGACCAGAGTTTCCCAGGAAGAGTGTGAAGAGGTGGGTGGGCTGTGGGGATTTAGGGGCGGGGTGGGAAGGGATCGGGCTGCACTGGAGGCTGACTCGGGGAGGAAGGGGCCTCCCCTGGGAGTCGCCATCTTTGGGAGGCTGTTTATCTCTCCAGATCCCGGCTTGCGATCCCGACCTCTGGGAGTGGGGGCGAGATCGCGCCCTCCTTCACCACAGCTCTGGGGACCGTGAAGGCCTGAGGTCATCGAGCTGAAGAAAGGTCCGTCTACATCTGCATTCTCTGGGCCAAAGACACAGTGAAGTGGCCTCTGCCGCGGCTCGCGGGCCTTGGGCAGCCCGAGAAGCAGGAGCCCTCTCGCCCGCAGCCGCCGGCGCTGCGTGGGCCCGGACGGGCGCGGCCTCGGGACCCCAGCGCCCGCGGCTCGGCGCCCGCGGCGGGCGATCTCTGGGTGACCACGTCTGCGAGGGACTTTGCTATCCGTCTGCCAGGACCTGGGGAGGAAGAACCGGCAGCTCCCCATCCCTTCCCCCTCTGCCAGCATTTCGGGCACCCCGCAGGGACTCATTTTGGGGTTCCCACTGACTTCCAGGAAGGACGGGAGTCCTTCTGTGACCCCCGCTCGGGCCGCCACCTGTCTTTGCCGCAGTGGCCCTTCTCCCACGACCCTGCGGTGCCGTGAGTCCTCCGGGATGCAGGCCAGTGGGGGGCCGCGGGGTCAGCAGAGGAGCCCTCCCCCGAGGCGCGTGCCTGCCCAAGGCCCTGCGGGGGCTCGGGCAAACAGGATGGTACTGGGGAAGTATGACTGTTAATGAAGCCAAAGAGAAATTAAAAGAGGCACCAGAAGGAACTTTCTTGATTAGAGCTAGCTCGCACTCAAACTACCTACTAACAATATCTGTTAAAACATCAGCTGGACCAACTAATCTGCGAATTGAATACCAAGATGGGAAATTCAGATTGGACTCTACCATAGGTGTCAAGTCCAAGCTTAAACAATTTGACAGTGTGGTTCATCTGATCGACTGCTATGTTCAGATGTGCAAGGATAAGCGGACGGGCCCAGAAGCCCGCCACCCCCATGGCACTGTTCACCTTTACCTGACCAAACCGCTCTGCACGTCAGCGCCACCTCTGCAGCATCTCTGTGGACTCACCATTAACAAATGTACCGGCGCCATTTGGGGATTGCCTTTACCAACAAGACTGAAAGATTGCTTGGAAGAATATAAATTCCAGGTATAAGTGTTTCTCTTTTTCTAAACGTGCCTCACGTAGAGTATCTCCGAATGCAGCTATGTAAAAGAGAACCAAACCTTGAGTGGACTGCTCTGGATGACTACACGGAATCCTTTCTAAGAACAGCTGAAGTCAATCTAATTTAAATGTGTGAAGAGGTAGCTAGGTATTTAAAGCCCCCCCTCCTTCCCTCCCCAGATATTTTCACCAGAGGGATGTTTCCCTTCCTAAGGCTGACTGAGACCAGTTGTTCTTTTAAATTAAAAATAAAATGTCCCAAGTCAAGGCTGAAGGAGCACTTATCAGAATGCCTTGCCTTTCTGAGGTTTCCTTTCCATTAGGTCAAAGGTCCAAGCTCTAGTAGTAAAGAGCTCTACCTAGCAGTACTGAAGAAGTGGAAGGAACCAAGCTGACACAGGCGTAACTTCAATCTTATGAACTTGGTGATCAGAATCTACTTTAGGACATTTTATATTTTGCATTCTGATGTACCTAGGAGTTTTATTAAACAGATCATGTGTGTGAGTATTTATCCTTTATTTTATGCAATTAACCAAATCAACCAAAAAACTATTTTCTCATGGTGTTCTCTGTCTGAGTGTCTTCCGCACGTACAGATCTGAAGAAAACTACCCAGCCTTAAAGTCAGTTCAAACACCTAACTCTAGTGATGCCTTCGCCATCTTCCAACTGCTGCATACCAGTAGCACTTAAGTTAAATCCTATCACAATATGACATTGTGGATTACAGTTTCTGATCTCCCCGCCACTTTCCCCAATCCCACTAGACCAGACACCTTTTGAAGGCAGGGTCTTCTCAAAAATACCAAGCATTCTTAAAACAACACAATTCTTTTCATTTTGCAAGTGTTCATGTTACATTGAGTTTATGAGGTCACTAGTCTGGTATTTGGCTATAAGATGAAGCTTTCACTCATTCACTCATCCATCCACTTAATCAACAAACCCTGACAAAGTGCACCCTATGTACCAGGGAATGTGAGGTGACAGGAAGAGGGATCCAGGGAATGCTTGTTTAGTTAAATGCACCAACAGGAACCAAGTCCTGACTTAGCCATTTCCTAGGAGAGGGATGAATACAGAGACAAACCAGTCAGTTCCTGTCCCCTCAGGGCACTTACGATATAGCAGGGGAGATGGGTGTGTGCTCACATAGCAAGTTGATGGGGACGGGGCTGGGGAAATTGCATGCCAACTGTCTTGTGTCAGGATGGCAGGAGACAGCCTCAGGCCTTGCAGGGGGTGGGGTCTGTCTTCACCCTCAGCCTGTGAGAGGCCCCTTCACAAGGTCTCTGTCCAGCAGCGGCCTCCTGATGAAGGGGTGGTGCTCTGTGACTCTGGGTGGGACTGACACGGGTCCTGTGCTGAACTTGGGCAGCCTGTCCTCCTCTCTGCAAAGCTGACCTCAGGCAGAGTCCCTTCTCTGCCTTCCTGCTGGTGTCCCTGACAAGCCACCTGATTTCTCTCTCCAGCTACCTGGCCAATGACATGGAGAAGGATAACCAGGCTCCTAAACAAGCCATTTTTCCATTCCTGTATGGGGAGAGCGGCTTCCAGCGTCCTGTTCCACAAGCTGCCCTACCAGTTCATCCGATCCACAGCTGTAAGACCAGAGTTTCCCAGGAAGAGTGTGAAGAGGTGGGTGGGCTGTGGGGATTTAGGGGCGGGGTGGGAAGGGATCGGGCTGCACTGGAGGCTGACTCGGGGAGGAAGGGGCCTCCCCTGGGAGTCGCCATCTTTGGGAGGCTGTTTATCTCTCCAGATCCCGGCTTGCGATCCCGACCTCTGGGAGTGGGGGCGAGATCGCGCCCTCCTTCACCACAGCTCTGGGGACCGTGAAGGCCTGAGGTCATCGAGCTGAAGAAAGGTCCGTCTACATCTGCATTCTCTGGGCCAAAGACACAGTGAAGTGGCCTCTGCCGCGGCTCGCGGGCCTTGGGCAGCCCGAGAAGCAGGAGCCCTCTCGCCCGCAGCCGCCGGCGCTGCGTGGGCCCGGACGGGCGCGGCCTCGGGACCCCAGCGCCCGCGGCTCGGCGCCCGCGGCGGGCGATCTCTGGGTGACCACGTCTGCGAGGGACTTTGCTATCCGTCTGCCAGGACCTGGGGAGGAAGAACCGGCAGCTCCCCATCCCTTCCCCCTCTGCCAGCATTTCGGGCACCCCGCAGGGACTCATTTTGGGGTTCCCACTGACTTCCAGGAAGGACGGGAGTCCTTCTGTGACCCCCGCTCGGGCCGCCACCTGTCTTTGCCGCAGTGGCCCTTCTCCCACGACCCTGCGGTGCCGTGAGTCCTCCGGGATGCAGGCCAGTGGGGGGCCGCGGGGTCAGCAGAGGAGCCCTCCCCCGAGGCGCGTGCCTGCCCAAGGCCCTGCGGGGGCTCGGGCAAACAGGATGGTACTGGGGAAGTATGACTGTTAATGAAGCCAAAGAGAAATTAAAAGAGGCACCAGAAGGAACTTTCTTGATTAGAGCTAGCTCGCACTCAAACTACCTACTAACAATATCTGTTAAAACATCAGCTGGACCAACTAATCTGCGAATTGAATACCAAGATGGGAAATTCAGATTGGACTCTACCATAGGTGTCAAGTCCAAGCTTAAACAATTTGACAGTGTGGTTCATCTGATCGACTGCTATGTTCAGATGTGCAAGGATAAGCGGACGGGCCCAGAAGCCCGCCACCCCCATGGCACTGTTCACCTTTACCTGACCAAACCGCTCTGCACGTCAGCGCCACCTCTGCAGCATCTCTGTGGACTCACCATTAACAAATGTACCGGCGCCATTTGGGGATTGCCTTTACCAACAAGACTGAAAGATTGCTTGGAAGAATATAAATTCCAGGTATAAGTGTTTCTCTTTTTCTAAACGTGCCTCACGTAGAGTATCTCCGAATGCAGCTATGTAAAAGAGAACCAAACCTTGAGTGGACTGCTCTGGATGACTACACGGAATCCTTTCTAAGAACAGCTGAAGTCAATCTAATTTAAATGTGTGAAGAGGTAGCTAGGTATTTAAAGCCCCCCCTCCTTCCCTCCCCAGATATTTTCACCAGAGGGATGTTTCCCTTCCTAAGGCTGACTGAGACCAGTTGTTCTTTTAAATTAAAAATAAAATGTCCCAAGTCAAGGCTGAAGGAGCACTTATCAGAATGCCTTGCCTTTCTGAGGTTTCCTTTCCATTAGGTCAAAGGTCCAAGCTCTAGTAGTAAAGAGCTCTACCTAGCAGTACTGAAGAAGTGGAAGGAACCAAGCTGACACAGGCGTAACTTCAATCTTATGAACTTGGTGATCAGAATCTACTTTAGGACATTTTATATTTTGCATTCTGATGTACCTAGGAGTTTTATTAAACAGATCATGTGTGTGAGTATTTATCCTTTATTTTATGCAATTAACCAAATCAACCAAAAAAAGTGACCACGGAATCCTGTATTTGTCTTTTTACTACATGTATGAACTCTCTCATGTGAATGAGTACTGTAGTAATCCATTTTAAGGGAGCCTTACTTCAGAAATATTTCAAACTGGTGCAAATAGAAAAGACTTTTTTCTTTTCCTTTAAGGCTAAAGACAAGAATGTCATGCTATACAGGTGCAACTCAATCTCTGTTAATAAAAACCAGTGTAGATATAGACATTTTACCCTTTAAAGTAGCTGTGTCCCAACCTGTAGCCATTCCTTTTTTGGAAATGGCTTTAGAAATTTCCAGGTTGCCCTTGAATTATCTAACCACAGACATTAGCAGATGTCTCCCTTCTACCATGTAGAATATTTTGACTTAATTTTCTTCCAGATATAGGGGGATACCTGCCTGTTTTTCCAAGTGTTTATTTACTGCTGTTATTATTGGATTAGAATGTATTAAATTTTAAAAACTTAACTTAAAAAAAAAGACACAATGATGTGTTGTCCTCTGAGGGCATCCGAGGCACTGAATTGCATGGCCCACTCTGGAACCCCCACCCACACCCCCTTCGTACACGCTGGGAAACAGCCCGGCCACACAACACAGCCAGACCCTCCGGGCAGCTTCACGGCCACACACCGACAGCCACGCACAGGCACAGCCTTGGGGAGATGTGCTGGGAGCCATTGAGCCACCCGCCACACCCCGGGAAAACCAGTTTGTCACAGCGGTACAGATTTGGCAGAATCCTTTGACCCAAAGCAACTGAGACCAAAGGACAGCTTTGATGAAATAACAATTTTAGTCAAAAGGGAATATACTTTCACGGTAAATTCCCATATTTCCCCCATGTATTATATTGTGTTTTCAGTTTCTCTTTTTAAGTCATTTTTGGCCATTACTCCTTTAGGGATATCAACTATACAGATTTATTTATAACAAAGTAAATGTTTAACAATAGGATATCAGCTGAACAGTCTGCATGTTCAATGACAAAAGACAAATTATAACTAACTATATATTTATCCAAATTTGCTTCCAAACAAATTGCTGTTATCAGCCCACTCCCGAACTTTTGCTTTCCCCCGACTCACCATGTCTGGACCAATTTCTCCTCTTACACAATCACAACTTTTCCAACTCAAGTTCAAGTTATTAACCCTGAAAAATAATCCTGAATTAGAAGAGGAGGCAGATCCTAACCTAGGAAACAAGGGGAAGATATTGAGGGGAAAAATCCAGGAAACGTACAAAGGAAGAAAACTCTGCAGGTGCCTGGATAACAGTCCAAGATGCTAAATAAAGGAAAGGGGTCTCAGGGAGAGATTCATTCCTGCAAATTGTACAAAGCAAGGGAACACACAGGCTCAGGTAGTGCTTGCTATTTTAATCATAATAGGAGTTCTTTCCCAACCTCAAATTCCAGTTTTATGTAATAAAAGGAAAATCTACAGCATGTGATGAAATAAAAAAACTAAAAAGAAAGGGTCACAACCCTCCAATCACATGGTTGGTCTTTCTGCTGCCCCCATGCCAAGACACCTGGTCAGCATAAACTCAGGTGGGGTCTGAGGGCCCCCCATGAGGCACAGACACTCCTATGACTCAGGAAATTGCAAGGATTTAGAGGTTCCCTCTAGGAACCAGAGATGAAGGCCAGCCACAGTCTTCTTTCTACAACACACTGACCGTGGTCAGGAGCTCTGTCAGAACTCAGAGTCAGGGCCAGTAACAGGCATAGGTACAGGAACGTTTTAGGACAGCACTATGACAAGGGAGACAGAGAAGCGGAAGAAAGGAGGAATGAAATGAAGGGGTGCACACAGGCGACTGCAGCAGCTTAGGGGGCTGAGGAATGTGGAAGATGAGGGGCTTTATGCCCAGGAGCAGCTGGTGACAGGTGAGCCACCAGGTTAATTTAGAGACATTTATTTTCTTACTGTTCTGGAGGCTGGAAGTCCAAGACCAAGGTGCCGTCAGTGGTTTCTGGTGAGGCCTCTCTTCCTAGTTTATAGACGCCTGGCTTCTTAGTGTGTCCTCATGTGGCCTTTCCTCTGTGCACAAACGGAGATAGAGAGCTCTGGTTTCTTTTCCTCTTCTGATAACACCAGTCCCATCAGATCAGAGCCCCGCCCTTATGACCTCATTTACCTTAATGACCTCCTTAAAGGCCCTGTCTCCCTGTACAGTCACATTAAGAACTAGTGCTTCAACATATGAATTTAGGGGGCATACAATTTAGTCCATAACACTTACTAATAATGGTCAGGCATATGCAAATTAAAACCACAGTAACAGGCTATTCTTTTCCTAACATTTAATATGTTTGACAATATTCAATGTCATGGGAAGGTGTGGGGAAATGGACACTCTCCTGCCCTGCTAATTAGTGGAGTGTGGTGCATTGATACACTGGATAAAGATATGAAACAGAGTCTCCAAAATTGGCAGTCTACATAAAACGGATGCTTTTTTCCTACTTCCTGTGATAGTGCAATAATGAGAGGAAAGTATTAATAATTCTCTCGTGAAGCCAACCAGGGACAATGTTTGATGGCTTGGCTCTGCTGACATTGATATGTGGCTTCTATTTCTGGATCCAAGATGGCTGTTGTAACTGTCACTGGGTTTTTTGTTTTTTGAGATAGGATCTCTTTCTGTCACCCTGGCTGGAGGGCTGGAATGCAGTGGTACAATAATAGATCACCCTAGCCTCAAACTCCTGGGCTCAAGCTGTCATTCTGCCTCAACCTCCCAGGTAGGTTGGACTACAGGCACACACCACCATGCCTGGCTAATCTTTAAAAATTTTTTTGTAGAGACAGAGGTTTCACTATGCTCAACAGTTTGGTCTTGAACTCCTGGCCTCCAGCGATCCTCCCACCTCAGCTTCCTAAAGTGCCAACATTACAGCCGTGAGCCCCCATGCCTGGCAGCAATTGTCACTCTTTCCAACTAAGGGGGAAGAAGGAAAAGAGAAATTCTAGGACAAGTGTCTTTGCCTTTAAGAAGATGACCAAGAGGTTACTCAGATTCTTTTCTCTCAAACGTCTTCAGTCTGAACTAATCATATGCCACACTTACTATAGTTAAAGTTAAAAAAAAAAATAGGGTTATATTACCAAGAGGGAGAGGAGACTGAATATAAGACAGTCTACCAGTCATTGCTACATGCTAATCACCACATAAATGTTAAATAATCTGGAAAGATCGTTTTTTATTTTTTAAATCAACTTTATTATATATATAACAAGAAGCATTCATTTTATGTGTACATTTTGGAAAATTTATATGACCATGTAACTATTACCAAAATCAAGATATGTTAATAGAACAAATATTCCACTGTCTCTTCCCAAACAATCCAACCTAAAATCATAGCCCTGTGACGCCACAAATCTGCTAGTTATGACTATAGGTTAGACTTGTTTTTTCTCAAGTTTCATAAAATTGCAATTACACAGCATTTTCTTGTGTCTGGATTTTCCCACCAACATAATGTGCTTTGTTGAGAATTTTTGCTTTCTTTTTCAAAATAATTATAGATTCACAAGAAATTGCGAAGACAGCACACAGACATTCATGTACCATTCACCCATCTTCCCCAATGATGTCATCTTATATAACCATAGTATAAAATCCAAATCAGGAAACTGACATTGATACGATGTGTGGATAGGTCTATGCCATTTTACGACATGTGTAGATTTTTATAAACATCACTGAATCAAGATATAAAAACTATTCCATAACTAGGAGGATCTCCCTTGGGCTACCTCCCTTTACATAGTCACACTCACTCTTTCAACAGCCCCTTCTATCCTAACCCCTGGCAAAACGAATCTGTTCTCCTTCTCTGTAATTCTGTCTATTTGAGAATGTTATATAAATGGGATTATACAGTATGTAATATTTTGGGGGTTTGCTCTTTTTCGCTTAGCACAACTCTTTGGAGATCCATCCAGGTTGCCATGTGTATCAATAGTCGTTCCTCCTTATTGTTGGGTGGTATTCCATGGTAGGGATTACCACACTTTGTTTAACTTTCATTCATCGAAGGACATCTGGGTTGTTTCAAGTTTTGGGCTATCATGAATAAAGATGCAATGAATATTTATGTACAGGTGTTTGTGTGCACATAAGTTTTCATTTCTCTGGGATAAATACCCACTCACAACTCCTGGGTTGTATGGTAGTTGCATCTTTACTAGTTTTAAAACTGCCCAACTGTTTTCTAGGTTGCACATTTTACATGCCCACCAGCAATGCATGAGTGATCCAGGGTCCTCACATTCTCACCAGCATTTGATGCTATCTCTGTTGTTGTTTTTTTAAATTTTAGCCATTCTGATAGATGTGTAGTGATGTATCACTGTGGTTTTCATTTGTATTTCCCTAATAGCTAATGATGTTAAACTTCGTTTCCTGTGCTCCATTTTCCATCTGTATATCCTCCTTGGTGAAATGTCTCCTGCCCGTTTTCTAATTGGGTTGCTTTTTATTGTTGAGTTTTGGAAGTTCTTTATACATTCTAGACAATAGCCAGGCATGTGGCTTGCAAATCTTCTCCATCTCTGTAGCTTGTCTTTCAGTCCTCTTCATAGGATACTTTGCAGAGCAGAAGTTGTTAATTTTGATGAAGTTCAATTTGTCAGTTTTGTCTTGTATAGATTCTGCTTTTGGTTTCAAGTCTAAGAAGTTTCTGCTTAGTCCTAGATCTTGAAGATTTTTTCTATGCTTTAAAAAATTTTTATAGTTTTACATTTTACATGTAAGTCATTTTACATTTATTTTGAGTTAATTTTTTGACTCTGATGTCCAATTGCTCCAGCACCATTTGTTTAAAATCGTTTTCCTCTATTGGACTACTTTTCCACTTTTGTCACAACTTGAGTAGGAATATTTGTGTGGGTCTATTTCTGGGTTCTCTGTTCCTCTATTCCATTGATCTATACGTCTATCCTGCCACCAATACTACACAGTCTTGACTACTGTAGCTAGTGGCTATATGATATGGTTTGGATGTCTGTCCCCTCCAAATCTTATGTTGAAATTTGGTCCCATATGTTGGAGGTGGGGCCTGGTGGAAGGTGTTTGAGTCATGGGGACGATCCTTCATGAATGGCTTGGTGCCCTACCAGGTAATGAGTGATTCTCTAAGTAGTTCATGAAAGAGCTGGTTATTTAGAGTGGGGCACCTCCTTCTCTCTGTCTTGCTCCTCTTATCACCATGTGACACACCTGTTCACTTTTTGCCATGAGTAAAAGCTTTCACTTTTTGCCATGAGTAAAAGCTCCCTGAAGCCCTCACCAGAAGCAGATGCTGGTGCTATGCTACTTGTACAGCCTGCAGCACTGTGAGCCAAATAAGCCTCTTTTCTGTATAAATTACCCAGCTTTAGGTATTCCTTTGCAGCAATGCAAAACAGACTAACACACTATGCAATAAGTCTTGAAACCA